CCTCACTGATGATGTTTGTTTTGGTATCCCCGTCTTAATTTGTTATTTATCCTTAATACATGTACTCACTAATACTCTGGTCTGTCTTTCTGTTGCAAGCAAGTCCTCAAGGGAAAGGGGATATAATGCTGTTCAGTAGAACTCTAAAAGTATACTGTCACAGTGATGTGTGTCAAGTCACCATATACTGGAGTAAATTATATATAATTAAACATCACCCGTATAATTGGATCCATTACTATGTGTTATATTGTGGACCTTTTACTAAGGTTCTTTATAAAAGAATTGTTGCCATGAGAAAAAATGCTTTGTTTTTGTCATGTCAAGATTATTCCTCTAGCTCATTTTGCGATTGCAGATCAGGATCTGTATTTTCGTGGTTAATATTAAGCATTATATGCAAATAAATATTGTCTTGGCAATTGTTTTACATTTTAGACCCTACTGGAGCTTCCTGTCTGCCAACTCCTAGTGCATCACCAGTACCTTTAGAAACAGAGGAGTAAGTATCGTTCTCTTATACAGTCTTTCTTACCATCCTGAAAATATTTTTTATAAAGTCTGAAAATATTTTTTATAAAGTCTCCGGGGTCACGCTACCAGGCAAAGTGGGCGACAAGTCGCCTAAGAAAGATAATCTTCGCCTTATGTTAGGAAAGCAAAAATGACTTTGCCCTCGATTTGTCAGACGTAAAATGGCTGTAGATTATGATGTCTAAGATGCCCCCTTCACAGTAGCCAGTAAGTTCTGAAACTTGTAATCTAAAGTGAAATGCATCATTATATAAATATTAATTTGCTTTTGAAAAATAAAATCGGTGAACAGTGTTTTCTAATGTATTCTTTGTTTTTATAAATGGAGATTTAATTTTAATGGCCGTATTTGCGCTTTTTCTTGATAAAATCTGTTTGAAACCGTAAATGAACTTGTAATGGCAGGCTTCGCTACATATGATATACCACATTATTAAACTGTCTGTATTCGTAAACAGTTGGGAAAATAGATTCAGGAAAATATTTAATATAATGAAATCAACGTTGAAATATTATGTGGTAGGAAATGTAGCTTAAATATTTACTAATGTAGGTCAAAACAGGTTACAGTTTCAGTTGTGGAATTCGAAACAATGCTGCAAGGTCAAGGTTGTTTCCTGCCCTTCCATAATTAATTTTTGCGAAATTACAAAAGAGATATAAAGTAGCGAAGTAAATACTATTAAACCGATTTATATATTTAATACTAGTAGGTAGATAAATAATTCAACCATAAATATATTCTTATTAATGAATTTCTTATAATAAAGCAAGAAAGCAAATATTTTTATTAAGAAAAACACTCTTTTTAAAAAATAGCCGCACTGGCTTGGTGCAATACGTGTTCTTGTATAATTTACATAAATTCAAATTTAGATGCAGCTTGTGGGTTCAATCATGGCTGAGTCATATCACTAGGCACTAGGCATTAGGAGGCTAGTATTAGGACTGGTCTGCCTAGTATGAAAATGGTGTGACTGGGTGGGACATAACGCTACATGTCTGCAGCATGATGACCCATGCTAGGCATCACTTTAAACTGACACACTTCAGACATTGTAGCGATATAACTTGATAAATTATTAAGGCTACATTGACAATCTAATCCACACATGTAAACACACATGAATTCAAAAAAATTGCAGAATTGTATTCAGTACATATCGGGAAATTGACGTGTGTGATCAGTGACCCAAATATCAATATTTGTCAAACTTGGAGCCCCTATGTCATGACCCAAGTTCTTTCAATACAGAGAGACAGGCCCCTTTTCATAATACACAGGGTTCTCATGCTATTGGGATAAGGTTGGGAGAAATGATAATTTTTTTTTTCACGAATGGGAAAAGCTCCAGAATTTGTAAATATTGATGAAAGTCAGGAAAACCCAGAGAATTTCTGCAACCACTTAACGCCAGAAACAATCATGTAACTGAGTCGTAACTAAACTGATCACGATTTAATTTTATCAAGTTCTAACCTGAGTATTTGGATGGTGCAGTATGGATTATTTGGGTGCTTGCAGTAAACATACATGCTGCGTCGATCCAAACTCTGTGAATGAGCTTCATCTAGTAGACTTTTATTTTCAAAGTGAGATCGATATGTGTATCATTCCTTAGATGGAAGGTAAGAAAACCAGTCTAGCATCACAAGCGTCCACCATGGTAGTGACAAAGCGTAACCACTTACCAGATTGTCTAGCAAACTTTAAACATTGTTAGATCAAGTGATACATGCATGAAATTGAAATGAAAATTACTTATTTTGTTTATAAATTGTATTCAAATTGTTATTTTTTTAATCTGCTGAAAGACAAGATAAAACTACGATCATGAAATGTGACCTAGCACTCATGATATGCATTGCTAGTCACACGAGTACATAAATCTTATAAAACCAATTTTAAGATATTATTATGCCATATAATGAATTCCATATACTGATTGTTAAAAAGTACAAAATTAAACAAACACGAAATTTTCATATTTATATATTCCAAGCATAGGTTCTGGAGTTTTGTTGTATCACATGACTACCATGTTTACATGTGCTCTCTGCTTGATAGTATCTGACTTTCATTTAATATAATTGAATTTCTGTACAACTACATTAAAAAGGAGTTTGTTATTATGTATGCACTCTTTGAACATGAAACGATGACTGGATCAATTTGACCTACCAAATACGGTTTACAAACAGAATGATAGTTTTTGTTGTTGTTATGGGGCTTAACGCCCTTTTTCAGCACACGATAGCCTCTACATGGCGGCCAGTATTAATGGTGGAGGAAGAAACAGGGAAATCCGATGACAGAACCACCGACCCATGAGAAGCTACTGGCAAGCTTTATCACATATCCACATTCACAGAATCTTAGACTTAAACTCACGCAGACAGAGTTGAGATGGCAGTGATCCTTAACGGACAGCGCTTTAGACCACTCGGCCACTCTTGCTTCCTTATAATTTTTTTATGAAATACTGTATATATTTGTTTATAAGACAAGTCCAACTACAAACTGCACAGGTCCAAATCTGCCAGTGCATAATGTGCCAGCAACTATGAGCCTGTGCAATTTGTTAGGGGTAATAACTAGAATAAACAACATAGACCCTTGATCTTTGTTTACAGTTTGACTAAGTTTATAATTAAGTGAATGTGTTTCTATTTTGGTATATTTTGAAGTCCTGGTATCAATGGAAAATAAACATCTCACAGTACGATAGTACAGAGTCCTATTTGCCAACTGGTAAGTTACAAATTCATTGCTCCTGCAGCCGTGACCCCAAATGGTCATCGACCTAAGGATCTTTTTTAATTTTAGTTATCATTCATCCATCTATGCATTGACATATTTGTTTTTGCTGCTTTTCCTAAACTACTTGTAAGATTGCCATGAAACAGTGCACACATTTAGTCTTGAAAGAAAATTGTCCTACTTAGACATCCACAGTGGCCATCTTGAGTGTCTTAAGACTTGCATGTTAGACATCTGCAATGGCCATCTGGGATGTCTTAAGACATACATGTTAGACATCTGCAATGGCCATCTTGGATGTCTTAAGACTTGCATGTTAGGCATCTGCAATGGCCATCTTGGATGTCTTAACACATGTATGTTAGACATCTGCAATGGCCATCTTGGATGTCTTAAGACATGCATGTTAGACATCTGCAATGGCAATCTTGGATGTCTTAAGACATGCATATTAGACATCCACAGTTGCCATCTTGAGTGTCTTAAGACATGCATGTTAGACATCTGCAATGTCCATCTTGAGTGTCTCAAGACATGCATGTCTACAGTCATTGTACTCTCAATAGTTTCAGAAGAAATGCTTGCTTTTCTTTTGCTATTGATTCATCTCCATATTCGGATAGGTGTGGGATGCTAGAAAGATTGATACATTTACATGAGTGAATTTCTAAAGTCTTCTATTTTATCAATATAAGAAAACAAGTGGCTTTATTTTGTAGAATAATATCAAGATTTTATTCTTGTTAGTGCCTTGTGTAGATTTTTATACATTAACTTATGCCTTGTGTTGGTGTCAACAAGCAAATTGTCTGAGATTGGGACAGTTAGTACTTTATATTTAACATGTCATTTTTGGTTGCGAATTGAAGAAATATCAGAAATGGCAAGAGCCATCTGTTTTTGCTAACAAAACTACTTAATATAGTTTAGATTTGTTGTACATGTTCTGATACTTTGTACTAATCAGCAGTTTTTGGTGGTTTAATGGTGACTTAATCTTTTTTTGGGTGGAACAAGCTGGAGCGCCCAGAAGAAAAACTAACTTTTTGGATAACTGTAGTAGTTCCTCGTTGTAAAGCACCTTGATATAGAACCATCCCAAATATAATGCATGTTCATGGAGCCCAAAAAGCTGGTGAAAATATATTTCTGTAAAACAAACTTTCCTGTATCATGCCACACTTTTATGACTGGAGTGCAGTATTGAAGTGAGGGATCACTGTGCTTTAATGCATGCTAAACTACAAACAGTATTGTCTCAGATCTGCACACATAAATCAGGGTCTGTGCTGATCATGCATCCACAGATCAGGGTCTGTACTGATCTAGCACCCACAGATCAGGGTCTGTGCTGATCATGCATCCTCAGATTAGGGTCTGTGCTGATCTAGCACCCACAGATCAATGTCTTTGCTCATCATGCACCTACAAGTCAAGGTCAGTACTGGTCATGCACCCACAGATCAGCATCTTTGCTGTTCATTCATGCATAGGTCAAGGTCTGTGCTGATCATAAACTGACAGATCAGAGTACATGCTGATCTTGAACCACAGATCAAGGTCTATGTTGATCATGAACACAATAGTCAGGGACTATCCTGTTTACACAAAATCACAATCATGTGCCAGGTATTATGTTAATGAAGACTTGAGTCAATATTCTTTGCAATTGGATTCATATGTACTCTGATAAATCTGCTATAAATGGTAGTAACTCAGCTAGTAAAGCATCAGACTTGTAATCTAGAGGTTGTTGGTTCAATACCTACCCAAACCCAACCTAAATAAACTGCCCCATTTTGTTCTTAAGATAGGTAATTAGCACCAATTTCCTCTTCATGATATATTCAATATGTTGAAAAGGCCATTAAAAACACTAAATCCAGGCACCCAAAATTAAACCCTTTACATTCCCTTTGTCAAGAGAAGCCAGAGAAACAGAAGTGGAGCAGAGTGAAATATGTAACTCTTGCCCTACCCATTCATATATTCCATTTTTAGGAATTTTTCTCTTGCAGTTGCTCTTTCTCATATAATTGCATCCATAGATGTGATATTGTTCAGTACACAGGCACTGCTTCTGCATGGTGAAGTTTCATATGTTACTATCTGCTCTACCATTTCCAGGAAAGAGAATAAAGTGAAGGCCAATTTACCTCAATCCTTGGCACGTCTTAAGATTCTGCAGAAGGGTTACCCAGATGCATCAGAATGGACAGTAGCAGATGTCACAAACTTCTTCAAGGAACTAGGCTTTGAAGAACAGGCTCAAGCTTTTAAAGACCAGGTATTAAAACAACAGAAAATGCAAGAGATTCACTCTCAGCATTGAACAACATAGAAACAGAGCTGTCACTGTATGAGATAAAATCAAATGTCTTAACTAGTAGCCTATGACTTCTGTCGTATTATTATGAATAATTATTTTTATGAAGTTGTAAAATGATTCCAAAGATTTATGTTCTTGTTTTGGAGTTAACGCTATTACTTCACATGTAAGAAAAGCTGAACATGGTGGCCAGTATAGCTGGAGGAGGAGAAACCCGTGAAAAACCCATTAAGCACCACTGACTCATGGGAAGCTACTTGCAGGCTTTCTCACATCCCACATCATCTGAGCACAAGATAAACTCGAACATGCCGACAGTATTGGAATTGCAGTGATCAGTAAAGGCCAAATTTTTAGTGATCTAAGATCATTTTCGGTTGATCCATGAAGAACTGTTCTATCAGTTTTTATTTAGAGCACCTGTACAAACCAACTTTGTTTTTTCACATTATTAATTACTATCTGACACAATATCATTGTGGGCAATGCATGCACTTTTGTTAAATATCGAGAAATGCATATTTTTTGCCTAAATTGCATTTTTCAGAATTGCACTACTATTTCATCTCATGAGATAATTACTAACAACAATGGCATACAACACTATAGAGTCCCATTATAACTCTACTGTTATTTTAATATTGTAATATTTTATGACAGATAAAACTTTCTATGAAAATTATTTACACAATTTTTAGGACATATGAAGGGTACAGTAAACCTAATTATGATATTGATGTTTGCATGCATAAGCAGATGACATAGTTACATTTTAATTCAATTGTGATATTTTTTATTTTTGGGACTCAGATATTTTGCTTTGCAGTGAGAGTATATGTATTTTACATACTTGTCCATTCTGTATAAGGAGTATTTCAATGCTCTTGTTCTTTATACTTGTGTAAGAGTTAGTGTACTTAAATAATAATTAGTGGACACATTTCCTGGGACAGACATTTTTGGTCGAACATATTAATATGTGCAATTGACAATCACTTTTCCACCTGCTGCATTGGGATGAGTTGAATTTGAACTGAACAAGCAGGCCCTGGACTTATTTATAAATTATCCCCCAATATATTTCTAAGACAGACATTTTTACAAACACAAGAAAGGAGTCTTTAAAAGTTGTCTGTGAGAAACTTTACAAACATCATTTTGCGACATGGTACCGTCCCTTGTAAGAAGGTACGAATAACAAGCACAGGTGTCCACATTACAAAGTCAGCATTTGTATCAGTGTGCATATATGGTTTTCATATGTAATTCACAAATTGTTCTTAAAATGCCAGGTTTCCTTTATATGCAGCTGTCCTATTAGGCAGATTTAATTTAAATAAGTCAATAAACTCTGGAATTTTTTCATGTATTCCCCTTAGCCAAAACAGATTTGAGTGCAACTTGGAACATGTGTTCCCCTTAGCCAAAACAGATTTCAGTGTAACTTGGTACATGTATTCACCCTAGCCAAGCAGATTTGAGTGCAACTTGGAAAATATGTTCACTCTTACCAAAACAGATTTCAGTATAACTTGGTAAATGTATTACCCCTAGCTAAAACAGATTTCAGAGTAACTTGGTATATGTATTCCCCATACCCAAAACAGATTTCAGTGTAACTTGTAACATGTGTTCCCCTTAGCCAAACAAGAATCATATATGTCTTTGCTTTGGTGAACATTTGTTCCCCTTAGCTGCAGAATGAAATCGCCCAGTTGAGGTCAGTAACTTCAAGGTGAAGGTCATTATTTCTAAAAATAGAGTTTGTCAATAAATTTCATTTTCAGATTATGACTAAACTCTAGATAAAAGAATTAAATAAAAGTTATTACATTTGTTCCCCATAACAGCAAACCTTTTGATGTTTAATATATAAGGTTTTGTTCCCAATAAAAATATGCAGTTTACCAGATTATTCAAATGAATGAATAGTGCTTTACTCAAGGACATGTAGCTTATCAGGCTAATCAACACCCTCTTGGCTGTGTATCCAATGCATTAACCAATGAGTGGATGTGGCTCCTATTTTACCCAGTATAAAAATACAGGCAAAATTTTAATTAATTTATTTGATAGCTAATGCTTTAATTGTTTACTTGTTAGATACTTTTCTATAATATCAATTATTTAAAACCCTTGTGTCTAACATGAAATTAGATAATAGTAACATCTGTAATGTCCAAAGATGTCAAGAATGTTTTTTTTTTCTTCACAAGATGAATTAAAGAATAAATTAGAACTAAGATCTTCATTTGCAGAATTATGAGGGGTAACTGTAAGGAACTAAGAGTACTGTTTTTAAATTGGTATTAATAAACTCCAAGGTCAACAGACCTGTCTACTATTCTCAGCCTACACTTTAGAGGATCAGGTTCTTTAAACTTTAAGATTTTTTTAAAAAATTTGTTTGCATACTTGCACAAAACTGCTGAGTCTCTCTTGAAAACTTTATCAAAAATGGTAAAAATAAAAGAAATATTACATCAAGATGAATTTGTATGTGGTATACAGGAATATAAGTTCAATTTTAGAGGGTAAAGATTTGAATAGCGAGTGGTAAGGAGGTAGTTACATAATAATGCCAGCTGGTTCAAAGTGAAATTGGTTTGCAATCCATCTAGAACACCAGTGAGCAATATTTAAGCAAAGTTTGTCAAGATGTACATATTTTATAGATTCTCAATTTTTGGGTTTCAGGAGATAGATGGGAAGTCATTACTGCTGATGAAGCGATTGGACGTTCTGACAGGGCTGTCAATCAGACTTGGGCCTGCTCTGAAGATTTACCAGCATGTGATGAAGCTTCAGACCGCATTCCAGGATAACTCATGACGGAATGTTGGCCTTAGCATGAACGAATTGAATTTCTCTTCTGTGACTTGATTAGGAGATTAGTTATTTATCAGTGTCATCATTTATATGCATTTGTTTGATATGCAAAGTTCTTATCTGTCAACATATCAGCTATAAGACTTCCTCTATTTTTTTGTTGTTTAATTATTCACAATTTGGTAGGGATATATACAGGTTTTCTTTTGTCAGTACATTTATCTTTCAGTTTGTGAAATAAGTTTTGTGTTTAGTTGTTTTCAAGCATCATGGAAGAACATTTGTACTCCATGAGCACATTTATGTTCTCACACTAATTTTAGTTTATTATGTAATGCAGCATGCTTACTCCTATGATGCAACTGACATCAACAGATCTACTTCTACTCAATGTTTGCCTAAGTTACGGGGATAAAAGTAAAAGCAGGTGAATTTGTATAAATTGCGTAATATTTTGGAATATTATCTCAGATGCTTGATTCTCATTTTATCAGAATTTTCCTTGGAGAATAATCATGGTATGTTTATGTAATGATTCACGAGTTGCTTGAATGTGATTGGTCAGTATCCCACTGACATCACTAAAAAGGCTGTAGTTGATTGATGTTATGTGAAAATTGTACTATTTGGGACATAAAATATTGTTAAAGTTGGGAGTTCTCTTATGATAAGAAGAGAATGTTAATAAGATAAAGTAATTTCAATTGTTAGGTTTTAAGGCAAAGTTACAGAAATTTTTGCTCAGATATTAAATTTATAAATATGTGAAAAATAGTGAAGTTTAAAAACAGTTGATTGTTCGGAGACTTGTCAATATATCACATTCAAATGTGACTTTGATACTTCCATATTGCAGATGTAAAATGATTAAATATGATAGAATCTGAGGATTTCCAAGTTTTATATCATGAGGTCAGGTTGTTTTCATTCCTGTGCTTTATACACTGTAGCTAAAAATCATAAAATCAAAACTGTAACCACAAAAAACCTCAGATTTTTGGGCTACTGTGATTTCTGGAACTCTGTGAAAACAGCTTAATTATGCTTCATTAGAGCCAAAAAATTAAAAGCATTAGTTACTGTTTTAGTTTTGGGATCAGTAATGTCTGATTAGTAAGTAAACAATAGATTTCATATGCTCTTTATAGAAGTACTGTAACCATAAGTTTTAACTTTACATAACATGTCAACATTGTATACACAGACTGATTTCTGATTTTGTGACATAATGGACAATCTCTAATAACAGTCAACAGTGACAGTGATAATATGGTTCTTTCAAGTGGTTAATTTTGTTGAAATGCAAAATAGTTTCCATTCTGATGTAAACATTCTACACTATATATACATATTTATAAATTGAGTACAACTACAAACTGCACAGCCTAAAGTCTAACATGTTGTAACAAATCTTGGTCTGTGCAGTTTATTAGGATTAATCAGAAGAACAAACAAGATAGATCCTGATTTGCCAGCACATTATTGGTGTCAGATCTGGGTTCTATGTTATTTACAGTATATAAGGTAAAGGATGCCTGAATAAAACAAATACCTCATGCCTGGCGTATAGATTCATGCATTTTGGGATACTTTACTACTTTCTTATTGCAAAAGTGAAGTTGAAAAAAAT